TGTGAAAACTGTGTCACAAAATAAAATTACAAACAAGCCCCAAATACGTGTGGGTACGTATATGTGTATGCACATATATATACATGTGCATGTGTGTGGAGAGATTGAGATTGGAAGGGTACCTTCTTTTCCTGTTATTGCAAACAGTTCATGTTATTACTGGAATTGGTTTTTGGATGTTTGATAGAATTTACTCATAAAGACCTAAAGACCTTTTCTTTGGGAGTTTATGGGTTCTTCAATGTTTCTGATATTAGGTAATATAAAACAGTCAATTTCTTTTGTCTAGGTATTTTATATTTTTATAAATATTCACCTATTTCCTGTAATTTATTATTTCTATGAGCATGTAACTAGGCAAAATAGTTTTGATAACTTCATTTTTAATATGAATATAATTATGTATATATTTATATAACAATTAAACAATAAAATTTCTCTTCAATTGCAAATTATTTTTATATACTTTGATTTTTCTCTCATTTTAAAAAATGAGACTTAAAAGGTCATTTTATTGTTGTTTTAAATACAGCTTTGAGATATATCAGTTCAAGAGGATTTTTTTTGCTTCTGCTTTATTATTCTCTTCTTTAACTTACAGAATTTCCACTTTAATACTTAGTTGGAGCTTTTTCTATTTATTGTTATCCACATTTTAAAAAGGTTAAATAATTTGTTTCATCTGTTTTGTTGATGGTAGCAATTAGAAATATAAATTTGGCCCTAAGAACTGCTTTATTTACATCCTATAAATCTTAGAATGTTGTCTCATTGTTTTCTTCTTTGTATAAAATTTTATATCTTTCCATAATTTGTTCTTTTGACATAACAATTATTTAAAATTGTGTAATGTAGTATACATTTGACAATTCTTTCAAGGAACTTTTATTAAGTATAATATTTGTTGCAATATCATCAATGAATAGTGTGCTTCGTATTTCTGCTTTCTGCTTTTTTGGATGAGGTCTTTATGCATTTGAACTGTTTTTTCTTTCTTTTTTTTTTTTTTGCAGGGGGGAGGACACCATATATTTTTCTTTGATCTAGGAGTTCTAGATTTTGGTGATGCCAGTCCTGGGAGTTTTCATTTCAGGGTTTCTTTCAAGAGTTGACCAGTGCGCTACATTCCACAATACAATGTAAATGGATCCTTGAGCTCATCATACCATAAAACAAAAGAGAAGCTGATTATATAACTCTCACAGAGGGATACTTGTGATAACTAGAATGATGTGAGACACAGAATACAATTAATTTTTTAAAAACCTATTTTTCTTGGGTCTCCTCTCCCTGCTCTGTTTACCAGATCAGTTGTGTTTTACATTATTTTTCTTACTTTTCCTTCAGTTTTTTTTTCATTTTGCAGAGTTTGCTTTAATATTTCTTGTGGTTTCACCAAGTGGTTTGGCTCATTCTAATCTGGAGGGTGGCTAGGTGGCCAGTGGATAGAGTGCTAGGCGAGTCAGAACAGTTCATCTTCCTAAATTCAAATCTGGCCTCAGGCACTTCCTGGCTGTGTGACCCTGGGCAAGTCACTTCACCCTTTTTGCCTCAGTTTCCTCATCTGTAAAGTGAGCTGGAGAAGGAAATAGCAAACCACTCCAGTATCTCTACCAAGAAATACATGAGGTCAGACAGCACTGAACATTTTGAGAGCAGACAGTTCTTGGGTGAAGTCCACTATCTGTTCAAAGGTGCCAATTTTTCCTCCCTCGCTATCACAATTTGCATCTCATTTCATTTCTTCCAGGTAAGCCACTTCTAAGCGACCCTGGGCCATCCCAACACTCTGCCTTCCTTGTTCTGCTTCTATATAATACCTGACCTGGCCTGGGGTTGGATCCCCAATGTTACTCTGTCCCACTGCCTCTTGTGAGGAAACTCCCTCAAACAACCCAATCGACCCTGATAAAACCTATTCACAACCAAGCCCATATGAACCCCTTTCTTCAGTATCTCTGTATTCTCTTGGGGTTATGCAGCCCTACAACCGGCATAATTTGGGCAGGAGAGCCTGGCCTTACAGTCTTCTGTTTGAATTCACATCAGACTCAGGAAGGGCATCCACACCATGCTCAGGACACCTTGGCTGCTGAAAACAGTGTAACAAGAACTTCTGCAAAAGGAGGAAATCAGCTTTTGAAAAGCGCAGACACAGAACTGCTACCTTACTGGATCCCAGCACTGAGAGGACTCTTGAGGGCAGTGAAATGACTGAAGGAATGATGTGGTCTGTGATCTGAGCAGTAGGTGGTGTTCAAGATGCACACAAATATACACACATGCACCCATGCAAGCACACACACACACACACACACACACACTCTCACTCTGACCACTTAACTGTTAGGGAATGGTGATGAGGGTGTGTATGTCTGTGTATATGTACACATGTGTATATACACACAGACATGCAATTATATATTTACACTTAATATGTTTGTCATATACTTAGAATTACTGTAATTTTATGTTTATTATGTTACCATACATTATATACTCATATATGATTATCCTATACAATGTTATAGCATATTTTTTACATCATTGTAGTTTTCCCCAGTTTCCTTCACCCTCTTATTTCCTAGACAGCCATCCAGTATAACAAATATATATGAAAACATATTTGTTTTTATATATATAATATACATATGTTCTCTAACAGCCATTCCCCAATAGTCAAAGGATATGAACAAATAATTCTCAAAAGAGGAACTGCAAAATATCCACAACCACATGAAAGAATAATCTAAATCACTAATAATTAGAAAAACCCTGAAGTTTCACCTCACAACCTACAAATTGGCAAAAAGGATTTTTTAAAATGGCACCATTCTGGAGCATTTGGGGGAGGATGAGCACACTAATACATTGCTGCTAGAGCTGTAAATTAGTACAACCATTTTGGAAAGCAATTTGGAATGATGCAAATAAAGTGACTAAGATGCCTGTAGCCTTTGAACTGGAGACTCCATCCCTGCGTTTATATGCTAAGGAAGCCATTGCTAAGAAGCTGCCATACACAACAAAATATTTATGGCACCACCTTTCGTGAGAAGAACTGGAAACAAAGCAGATGACCAACAACTGGGAAATGGCTAAACAAATGTGACACGTGAATGGAAAGGAGTACTAGTGCACTGTAAGAAATGATGTGTGTGATGAATACAGAGAAGCATAGAAAAAAGCTTTATGAACTGATGCAGTGAAGTCAGCACCAACTACAACGATGTAAATGAAAAAGACAACACCAAAAATCTTGGAATACAGCAAAATTATAAAGATCAAGCAGGACTTGAAAAGATATGAGAGGACACCCCTAACCCATCCTTCCAAGAAGTTGGGAGGTCCACAGGTGTCACACATTGCACACATTTTGACCTTTTCATCATATGAAATGGTTGTGTTCATTTTCTCTTTTCTCTTGTCCTTAAAAAAATACTATTCGTTATACTGGATGGCTATCTAGGAAGTAGAGGGAGAAGGAAACTGGGGAAAACTACAATGATGTAAAAAACAAAAATATCAATAAAACTTTTTTAAAAACAAAAAAATTTCAAATGGATGACTTCTAGGTATTAAAAGTTAAAAATAACCTAAGTATATTTAAAGTCAAATCTAGACATTACAGAAACATTAAGAAATAAATTTATCAGTTTAATTTGCATCTAGTTGGACAAAAATCACTTTCTAATAACATCCTTATTTTTAATTTCTTCTGATATATACTTTTTCATTTTTGATACAAGCAATTTGGTTTTTCTTTTTTAACAGTAGAGTGCTGGCTTTTAGGTGAGAAATGTAAGTACATATCTAAATCTGTTACTAGTTGAGTGATTCAGGGCATTTCAATGAACCTTTCCCAGCCTGCTCTCCTGTCTCACAGGATGTATCCACCATTTGACCCCTGCACATGCAGTTTCTCCCTAGGAGTGGGAACCATCTCCAGAATAGAATTTCTCATCGTTGGCTTCTTCAAGTCTTGGATGATGAAGTTATGATTAAGACATGCCAGAAGTTATCAGCTGCTCTGCTTTTAGTAGAGAGAGAGCTCCAGAAGATGTCTAGAAAATGGCAGCCCCCATCACTATTATAACAAGCCTCTGGGCCAAAGCCCCTGCTCCACAATGACCTCTGGAACCCTCCTTCCCTACGGACACTGCTGCCCACATAGCTCAGATGGGCAGGGAGTCACCAACCAGAATCCTTTGGGTAAGATGGAAGAAAGCCTGGCCTTACCTCTGCAATGACACTATGCCCATCAGACTACCAGGCACTGCCATCTCTATAGATGATGCCCCCAATTACCACAGAGCCTTGCCCTCCACCCAGCTTGTAAACACTATACTTAAACAGTCATTAACATCTCCCTGCTAGCTCCACCCTCCTATATGTACTAGATCTCCAATGGTACAGAATTTCCCCTTTACTTTGTTCCCAAGCACATACTGCAGTGCTCGGCACAAAATAAGCACCTGATAAATCTTGGAATCATTTTATTCCTTCATTCACTCTCTCTGTCAGGAGGGAGATTTGTTCCCCCAGCCACTCATCTCTTTCCTCTTCCTGGCCAGGTAGGCTCTAAGAACAAAACTGTTCATGTTTCACCTTTCCTGTGACCTTCACTTGAACATTCTCCACTGTTTCTCCCCCCCCCCCCCCGGCTACTAGAGTTCCCTCACATGAGTACACTCAAGTGACCAATGCTGCCACAGCCCCATTTTCACTCACTCTGCTTCTCTTAAGTTATTCACATCCAGAGACAAGTGCCTGCCATGGGTTTCATCCAACTAAGTCTCAGGGATAATTCTGTGGTCAAATTTGCCTCGAGCTGGGATTTCCTGTTCCTCCTTCCTGCTGTTATTTACCTGAAATGATGCAGAATAACGAAAGTGGAGTAGGAATGCACAAGCCATGAAAATAGCAATAACATCATCACTCAAAAACATGCCCAGAAGAGCTCAAAAGCTGACAGAGAAGGAAAGAGACCACCCTGCTTCTGAAAGTTAATGTTACATGTTTTTACTCAAGAAACTACAAAAAATGAAGATTACATTTCAACTTGCTACATTTAAATAAGTATATATTTATAGTTACTTGAAAAAGTTTCTCTCCAGTATGAATTCTCTCATATTAGAAAGTTTTCTCTCTAGTCAAATGTATCCCCACATTCATTCACTTTAGTATGAGTGTCTTGAAGTTTAATAAATGTTCCCCTGTCAATGAAGGTTTTCCTACATTCACTACCTTCAAAAGTCTTCACTCCAACATTAGTTTTCTGATGAAAACCCAAAGTCTTTCACTGCTTAAAAACTTCCCCAAATTCATTCTATTTAAAGGGTTTCACTCAGTGTGGATTTTCTGGTGGGTAATAAGATATTCCTTTCAAAAAGAATGTTTTCCCACCTACCGCATTCAAAAGATTTCATTCCAGTTTGAGTTCTCTCCTGAATATGTTCTACCTTCTTTCCATTCCATGGGTTTCACTCCACTACAGATCTTCCAAGGGCTAATACAGGATCTCTTCCAAATGAAGGCTTTTCAACATCATTATATTAAAAAGGTTTCACTCAGGTGTGGATCCTCTAGCTGGCTAATAAGGGTTGTCACTGTAATGAAGACTTTTTCCCACATTCGTTACTCTCAAAGGATTTCACTCCAGTGAGGATTCTCTGATGATGAATGAAGTATTCCTTCCAAATGATGTCTTTCCCACATTTCACATTCCAAAAGGTTTCATTCCAGTATGAGTTCTCTCATGGTTAATTAAGTATGTCTTCTCACTGAAGGCTTTCCCACATTCTTTACATTCAAAGGGTTTTACTCCAGTATGAATTCTCTGATGCCTATTGAGATGTGCCTTTCGAAAGAAGGCTTTCCCACATTCATTACATTCAAAAGGTTTCACTCCAGTATGAGTTCCTTGATGGCTATTAAGTTGTCCCTTCTGACGGAAGGCTTTCCCACATTCATTACATTTAAAAGGTTTCACTCCAGTATGAGTCGTCTGATGCCTATAAAGGTTGCCCCTCCGAAAGAAGGCTTTCCCGCATATTTTACAATCAAAAGGTTTAAGTCCTGGGTGGATTCTCTGATGGCTAATAAGGGTTCTCCTTGTAGTTAGAGCTTTCCCACATTCATTACATTCTAAGATTTTCGCTCCAGTATGAGTTCTCTGGTGCCTATTAAGGTTTCCCTTCTGAAAGAAGGCTTTGCCACATTCATTACACTCAAAGGGTTTCACTCCAGTGTGAATTCTCTGGTGGCTGTTAAGATTTCCCTTCTGAAAGAAGGCTTTACCGCATTCTTTACATTGAAATGGTTTCACTCCAGTGTGGATTCTCTGATGGCTAATAAGGTATTCCTTTCGCATAAATCCTATTCCACATATATCACATTCAAAGGGCTTCACTCCAGTGTGGATTCTCTGATGGTAAGTAAGGGTCTTCCTTGAAGATAATGATTTCCCACATTCGCTACATTCAAATGGTTTCATTCCAGAAGATTTCTGTTGTCCAGTAAGTGGTCCCCTATCACTGAAGCCTTTTTCACATTCATTAAGTTCAAACAATTTCACTCCAGTGTGAGTTCTCTGATGTTTACTAAGTGCTTCTCTATCCCAGAAAATTTTCCAACACACATCACATTCAAAAGAGTTTTCTCCACTGTGACTTTTCGGCTGTCCATGAAGATTTAATCTCTTGCCAAAGGCTTTCTTTCCAAATGTATTACACTTACGGAATCTTTCTTCCATGTCACTTCTCCATTGTGGAAAAAAGATTGGCTCCATGTTAAAATGTCTAACAAACCTACCTACCTCAGGGACACTCACCATATCAAATGTACCACCAAGAGTCATTGTCTCCTGGTGGCCCTCCTGTCTCTCTAACCTAACTTCCCACTCCTCAGATTCTCCAATCCTGGGATACCAGTTACCATCCATTGGCAATCTTTCTTGGGCCAAAGTTCCTGGGTAAATGCCCTCAGTCAGAACTGAATTCTTGGTTTCACACCTAGCATCCCAACTCAGGTAATCTGAAACAAATAAAACTCTGTGAGACAAACAGGACAGGCTTGAGGGATACAGGATAAATACGTGATTGAAAAGAAGAATAAGATACACATAATAAGGATCCTCAGTGTCATGCACAATCCCTTTTTTCTTTGCCTATGTACATGGAAATGCCCATTTTATTTCATGTTTGTTAAGATCAAAATAAAGGTACATAATGTCAATACAAACGTGTCCACAGCCATTCTCCCATGTCTTAGAGCAAAGACACTGCTTTATGGAAAGTTCATTATTAAGTCTCTCCCATGAAAGACAAAGGTACTTCATATGTACTCAGCAAAATGAAAACTTTTAAGGAGTAAGATTAAAGGCAAATGAGCAAAGAGGAAAGCTGGGCCTTGCCAACTAGACCAAAAAGTCTATTCCACGGCAACGAAGCCCTCAGAAACAGATGCTATTAGAAAGTATATGTTCATGAGGTGGATCCAAGACGGCAGAGTGACAGGAAGCACGGCAGTCAGCTCCCTTCCAAATAGACTGACCAAATCCTGAGGGAGGAGTCCCCCCAAAAGTCACATCTGTCCAGGTCAGTGCAGCACAGGGAGACAGAACGGCAGGCCTAAGGAGAGTATCACACAGAGCACTCATGCGCCCAGGACAAGAGGCAGTCTCAGATCCATATCAGGGGTCCACCAGACCCATATCGAGGTATTGGGACGGGGAGAGCTGCTGACTAACAGCTGTGTCTCCCAGTCCCCAGTTACAGTCACCAAGAGTAGAGTGAGAAGGGGACCTACACAAGGGCATGACATTGTCAGGTAGGAAGGACCAAGAAAGACAGAAGGTCAGAAGCCAGCAATAGCACTGGGGTGGCTTAGACCTGAAGCTCAAAGCAGGTTCTCACCCCCAGCATCTAGCCTAGCCTGGGAGGAATAGCCAAGGTAGCAATCTCAGATCCAAGGGGAGCCTACAATCCTGCAATTTTGAGCCAACAGAGCTTGGCAACATGCTAATGGGAAAGAGCCATGTAGCAGTCAATTCTTATACAGACTGAACCCAGGTCAGAAACTTGTCAAGGTCTCATGTGCCCTGGAGACGACACTGGGAACGTGTGCAGGTCCTCAGTCTGAGACAGTCTTGAGATCCTCAAATCACACAATGCCCCAAACTCCAAGAAAGAAGCAACAAGAGCAGCCCAAGCTTTTCCTCCAAAAATGCGGCAGAGCCCAGCCGTAACATCAAATCCAAAGTCAGGAAGTAGGCAGGAAGAATAAGCAAACAAACAAAAAAGCCCATCACAATGACCTATCATGGCGGCAGAGACACTCAAGACACAAACCCAGAAGAGAATGACCAAAACTCCCACAAGCAGAGTCTCACAGAAAAACACAACCTGAGCACAAACAAATAAAATTCCTGGGAGAGGTGATGCAAGAGTTAAAAAAAAAAAGATACAAAATATTTTGATAAATGGAATGAAAGTGACTAATGAAAAAACTGGAAAATAAATAAGAGCCATGGAAAAGGAACTAGAAAGGAAATTAACAGCCTGGCACAGGAGACACAAAACCCTGTCCAAGTAACATGTTCCTGATAATCAGGATGGCCAAATAGAAGGCAATGATTCTATGAAATAAGAAGAAATATTAAAATCAAAGTCAAAAGGCTGAGAAAAAATGTAAGGTATCATAGCAAAAAGAAATGACCTGAAAACAGATCGAGGAAAAAAGAATTAAAAATCACTGGACTTTTTTAAAGTCATTTTTCAGTTGTGTACGACTCTTTATGACCCCATCTGGGGTTTTCTTGGCAGATACTGGAGTGGTTTGCAATTTCCTTCTCCAGCTCATTTTCCAGATAAGGAAACTGAGGCCAACAGGGTTAAGTGACTTGCCCAGGCACCCCCAGTCAATAAGTGTCTCAAGCTGGATTTGAACTTAGCAAGAATTCTGTTCACTGTGCCACTTATCGGCCCCTATCACTGGACCACCTAAATGCTATGACCGAAAGAAGAAGCTAGAGACAATATGTCAAGAAATCTTAAAAGACAACTGCCCAGATCTCAAACAACAAAGTGGAAACAGAAGGAGCCTACTGGTTACCTCCCGAAAGAAACTCCAAAACCAATACTTATGGGCTCATTATAGCCAAAATCCAGAGTTTCCAGGTCACAAGCAATCAGAAAGAGAGAATTCAAGCACCAAGGAGCCACACAGTCAGGATCACACACAATTTAGCAGCCAGCACCATAAAGGAGCAGAGAACTTGGAATGATACTCCAAAAGCAAAGGATATAAGCTTATAGCCAAGAAAAACCTACCTGGCAAAACTGAGTATAATAGCAGGTGGAAAATGGACTTGTATCTAAAGAGAGGATGTCCCAGCATTCCTGACAAAAGGACCTGAGCCGTCTAGAAACTGAAGTTCAAACACAGGAGTGAAGAGAAACATAAAAAGGAAAAAATGAATGAGCAATCAACAAATCAATAAACATTTATTAAGGGCCCACTGTGTGCCAGGCACTGTGCTAGGTGCTAAGGACACAGAAAAAGAGGCCAAAGACCGTCCTTGCCCTCGAGGAGTTTACAATCTAATATGGGCAACATGCAAACAAACAGGTACAAACAAGCTCTACACAGGATAAATTGGAAATAATTAACACAGGAAAGGCACCAGAATTGAGAGGGGTTAGGGAAGGCTTTCTGTAGGAGGTGGGATTTTAGTTGGCACTTAAAGGAAGCTGGCAAGGTCAACAGTCAGAGCAGAGGAGAGAGAGCATTCCAGGCATGGGGGCTAGCCGAGGGAATACCTGCAGCTGCGGGATGGAGGGTCTTGTTTGTGGGACGGCCAGGAGGCGTCACTGGATCCAAGATGGAAGACGACTAGAAAGGTCATGGAAGGCTCGGAAGGCCACCGAGCATTTTGTACTTGCTCCTACAGACAACAGGGAAGCGCTGGTCTTTACTGAGCAGGGGGCGACGCGGTCAGACTCAAGGCTGGCGGCTGAATGTAAAATGGACTGGAGAAGGGAAAGACTTGAAGCAGGCAGAACTCCACTCCCCTCCCCCAACAGCCATGGCACTAATCCAGGCATGGGGCGACAAGGGCCTGCACAAGGGTGGGGCAGAGTCAGAGGAAGGAAGGAGGCATACTCGAGATGCTGCAGAGGTGAAATCAACAAGTCTTGGCACCATATTGGACCCAGGGGGACAGAGTGAGGATTCCAAGATGGCGCCTTGGGTGTGAGGCTGCGGGACTGGGAGGACAGTAAGAGGGAAGGGTTTAGGAGAAAGATGACGAGTTCCGTGTGGGGTATAGTGAGTTTAAGATGTCTGCTGGCAGTCCAACTTGAGATGTCTGAAACGCAGTCAGGAGATGGGAGACTGGAGGTCAGCAGAGACATTGGGGCAGGAAAGGTAGATCTGAGCAACATCGGCATAAAAGGGTCATTCAACCACGAGAGCTGAGAGATCACCCCATGGAGTAATGCAGAGGGCCCAGGCCAGAACCCGGGAGGCCTGGAGGAGGAGCCAGCAAAGGAGCAGAGGCCAGAGAGGTAGAAAGAGAACCGGGCGTGGGAGTGGGAGTCTGGAAAGCCTAGAGAGAAAAGAACGTCAAGGAGGAGGGTGGCCAAGAGTGCCCAAGGCCGCAGAAAAGGCCCCTGGGCTGGACAACTAAGACACCATTGGTGATTTTGAAGAGAGCGCTCCAGGTGGAGTGACGAGCGTAGAAGCCAGGCTGTAAGTGGCTGAGAGAATGAGAGGAGAGAAGGTGGAGGTACCAACGGTAGGCCACCTTTTGGAACAGTTTAGCTACAAAGAGCAGAAGAGAAAGCAGGGATGGAAGGACCCAGTGAGGGCTTTGTCAGGATGAGGGAGGGAAGGAGCCAAGAGAGAGGGAGAGACTGAAAAGAAGAGCTACAGTGGGGATGCCAGAGCAGGGTGATCTGCTGAAGGAGACGGGGACGGAAGGGGATCACTTGAGCAGGGGGAGGGGTTCAGAAAAGAGTGGGGAAGAGGAAAGCACTGGGGGAGAAGGCAGAAAACACGCACAGGAAAAATGAATCACATAATCAGGGTGCCCAAGAACAAGGGGGGAAGGGCTACCACCTGGATCTCACTCTCATCCAACCTGGTTGAAAGAAGGATGCGCACACACACACATTCACACACATATATACACACGCACGCACACATGCAGAGACAGAGTTGGGTACTGGGATGGAAAGGGAAGAAGGCAGAGGGATAACTAGAGGAAGGGTAGATTATAGGAGGGATTTGTCCTAAGCAAAACAAACACTAAAGATGGACAAAAATAGCTCTTTCTGAGGTGGACAAAAAGTGAGAATCTGGGAGGGTGTCTATAAACTAGAGAATGAGTGAAAAAGTGACATCAGACAAATGTGACCGAATCTGACTGCACTGAACTCTTCTCAGCGTAATGACCGACCAGGGCTCCAGGGGGCCGATGAGGAGACATGCTGACCACTCCTGACAGGGACGGGAAAGAGCAAGAGTGAGACGGAGACAAAGACGCTCGTTTTTGGACGTGGCCAACGGAGGGACTTATTCTGACTGACTGGTTAGAAGGGCAGTATTCTCGTTGTCTTTGATCAAGGTTGGAGGGAGAAAACAACAAATGCTCATAAATTTAAAAAATAAAATTGAAAAATAATTGAACAACGTACAAAACATAAAGTTAAGGAAATAATATTGTGCCCTAAAAGTATGGAGAAAAGGAAGCACTGACAGACACGTGGAGAGACGGATGAAGCCACAAGCCCTTCAGCGCGGCCGAGGCAGTGGAAGGCGCTTAGCAAGTGCTGCCAATGGGCCCAAAACCTTAGCGAAGACTGGAGAAGGGGCTGGGGGTGGGGGACACTGCTTGCAGTTTCTTTCCTGCTGTCCACTGAGGCCCAGGAGGAACGAGACAAGATGTGGTCTGGCCGCCGGGCTACAAAGATGGTTTCTGAGAATGGCACTTGGGTTTCTACCCCGAGGCTTAAGATACAAGACCACAGCACGCTGGCCTGCAGCTGGCTGACTTTGCAAAGGATGCTCTGCATGCTGTTCCCAAAAGGATGAAAAGGGCTTAAAATACAAGAGGATGGGGAGCCTCTGTCCACCCCCCCCAACCCCTAAATCAGAGTACACAGAATATGAGGACGAAGGTAGACCAACAGCTTGGACACCCAGGAATTCAGAGGACGACGTACATTAAAACAGACGCCATGTTTCCAGGGGAAGCCTGGGGGCTGAACCCCAAGAATGCATGGGCGTGGCTTATGCAAAGAAAACAGGAGATACTGAAGGAGGCATTGAGGGTTGGGGGAAATGAAAAAGCTGAATTCATGAGGAAACTGAATGGGAAAAGCTTACTGGAGGAAACCTGGCTGCAGGCCAGAAGAGGGAAGATTCTGTCAGGGGAGTACCATGCAGACACCTGAAGAGGAGGAGGGACCAGAGCAGGGGCTAGGAAAAGGACCAGAAAGCATGAGAGCTGGTGAGGATGGCATCGGGGCTCTAGACATGCTTCTGCCCAAAGCAGAGCAGTTTCTAATGTCCTGCTTTCACTCAGCATAGGTTCACTCACCAAAAGTCGGAGTGACCAAGAAAAGGGAAATTCTACTCTCAGGTTGATTTTCTAGAACAAGGAGAAACTGGTTTTAGGGGCAGAAATGATGAGAACCTCCTCCTGGGGTCTGGAACACCAAAGAGGAAATCCGGGCCTCGTCAGAAAAGAAGCCCAGAGTTGCGGAAAATGCTCTTCAAAGAGTTCAGAGGGAGGCTGGCAGAGGAGCTTAAGAGATAAAGCACTACCGAGGAAATCAGCCTAGGAGGGATGGCCGATGCCCAGGAAGGAAATTCTGAAGGCACAAAGAAGAATGATTCCAGCAAGAAGGAAAAAATTTGATTAGTCTAAAGATTAATCTTCAGTTGTGTCTGACTTTTCATAACCCCATTTGAGGTTTTCTTGGCTAAGACACTGAAGAAGTTTACCATTTCCTTCTCTACTGTGCCCCCATTTTACAGATGAGGAACTGAGGCAAACAGGGTGAAGTGACCTGCCCAGGGTCATACAACTAGGAAGTGTCTGATGCCAGATTTGAACTCAGGAAGATGAGTCTTCCTGACTTCAGGGCTAGCAATCTATCTACTTGCACCATTAGATGCCCCTAGTTTGAAGATGCCTACATGTTTTATTTACTTTAAAAACTAAATTAAGGGGAAAGCAAGGCCTGGTAGAAGGAGATAATTCCCCTCAGCCCACCTGTCACTCACTCACCTGGGCAGGGGCCTCTGGGGGCTCCTGCCTGGGGCATCCATGGTGCTTCTCCTTTCTCCAACAGGGAGATCACGGTGGGTTTGGACACTGGAAGCCCTGATCGTGGGGAGAGAGAGGAGAAAGGACTGGGACACAAAGCCACCTCAGAGTCCAAGCTGGGCCCTTCCTCCTTCTTCAGGGAAAGAAACAAACGCTAAGAAAATGAGGAGAATGATGGGACAAGGGGCCTCTGAAGGCCACCCTCCGTTGTATTTGTTTTTACCCACTCTCTTTTTTTTTGGCTAGGTAATGGGGTGAAGTGACTTGTCCAGGGTCACACAGCTAGTAAGGGTTATGTGTCTGAGGCCGGATTTGAACTCAGGTCCTCCTGAATCCAGGGCTGGTGCCCTATCCACTGTGCCACCTAGCTGCCCCTGCCTCCTGCTGTATTCGGTACAAGTTCAAGGAGAGGTCACATCGCTTTGGGCTCAAAAGGAAAGTCTGTGACCTGAGGCCTGCCGGGATAGTGGCATCTTGGCATTTCTTGAAGTCTTTGTCCTGGACTGGGCCGAGAACCTTAGACAAAGGGAAGCCAGAGCTTCAGGGCCAGTCCAAGGGAATGATGGGATTTCCATCAAGCAAAGAGGAGCAAAAACATTCGGTCACTAGGCACTAATGGATTTTAAACCCTCCCCTACTGTCAGTATTGGTCACCACCCCTGGACATCGAGCAAAATCTCGGGGAGCCCTTCAAACCTCAGAGGCAGACAGAAGGGGTAATGCAGAGATGCCCAGCGGGCAGATGGCCATGCTTACCCACGGAGACCAGGTTTTCATAGTTCTCCAGCATCACGTCCCTGTACAGGGCCCTCTGGGCAGGGCTCAGGCATCTCCATTCTTCCAGGGAGAAGTCTACAGCCACGTCCCTGAACGTCACCGGGTGCTGAAACATCAAACACACCCCTGCTCAGCCAGGACCATCTCTGGTCCACAGGATACCCAGGGAGTGGGCAGGGCATACAACACTGAGGGTTTGGAGAAAGCCATGCTCACTCTTTATACTACAGACATCTGTCAGAGAAGGTTATGGAAGAAGGAGCAGATGAGGGAAGGCCTTGGGGGAAACCAAAAGAAATGGAGATAAGGCCCTGAAGGGAAGAACTGAATAAGGAAAAGGAGGAGAAGACGTAGGGGCTGGCTACGAAAAGGAGCTTGGCTGGGTCTCCCAGACACGGAAGAGAGCTCAAAAGAAGAAGCCGACATGCAGGAAGGGGCCTGGCTGTGAAGAGTTTGCATTCCAAACACAGAACTTCTTGTTTGATCCTGGAGGTCACAGGCAACCACAGAAGATTATTAAGATGGTCAGGCCTGTGCTGTAGGACAAATGAAGATTTCATGAGGAGACTGGACTGGAAGTGGCCTGGAGGGTAAGGAAGTAGGAGCATTAAACTGCCCCACTGGAGAAAAAGAGGACACACCCGCCATTGAAAACTCCTTGAGGAGCCCCAGGCTTTGAGACACAGCTGCCTGTGCCCCAAAGCAGGAGGAATTACTCCTCCCCCACCATAGATGTGCAGAGACCATTAGTCAGACTGACTCCCCAGGGCCAGGGGAAGAGAAGGATCACTGGAGGAAGAAAGGCAGGTGGGAATATGCATGTCACCGCTCCATGAGGGGAGCCCCTGGGATGGGCCTGAGGAGCGGCCTTGCCTCTCTCCACGGCTCCTGACCTCTGCAAAATGGAGATGGCAGACCGCAGAAACCATTTAAAAGAACTCTGGGCCAAAAGCATCACTGGTGACCTCCCCCATGCTGTGGCACAGAAGACAGAGAAGGGCCACAGGCGCACCCAATACTACCCGAGAGTGACCAAGAGAACCAAGGTGGCTCCTGAGAACAGGCTCCATGCGATGGAGACAATCCTTCAGCAGCTCATTAAGAGTCTCCAGCTCGAGCCTCGGGCTAAAGGGATCCCAAGGGCAGCTGGCACTCTTCAATGATTTATAAACATTATGAAGGCATGAACTATCTACAAACTTTGGTCCCTCTCGAAAGATGTGGGGAGAGCATGAGGAAAGGCCAATCAAGGTGTTCCACTGGCCAGCAGACGCGGGGTTAGGGTTAGGGTTAGAACTAGAGCTAGTAACTCTTAAAAGGGGCTACTTCTGCCAGCAAAGATGATGGTGCCTCCTGCTTACAAACACACACGTCTACGCCTCCCCCCGCCTCAAAAAACCCTCACTGCATGCTGCCATCCCCACTGACTCTGCTGCCTTTGAATGCCACACTCCTGGAAAAGGCCCCATGCCACAGGCACCTCCTCTTCGGAACCCAGGGCCTGACCTTGGGATCCCTTCCCTGTTGGCAAATCCAATGGCCTATCTCAACCTTCGTTTTTCTTGACTTTTCCACAGAATTTGACAGTGCTGAGCACCTGCCTCTTCTCTCCTGGTCATCAGGACACTGCCCTCTCTCCCCCAATCTCCTCCTACCTATGAGACTTCTTCTCAGTTTCTTTTGCTGTATTACAGCAGGCGGGCAGCACCACAGTGCACAGAGCACAGGCATGAGCTCAAGCCAAGCCTCAGACGTGACCCTGGTTAAGTCACTTCACCCTGTTTGCCTCAGTTTCCTCAAGTATAAAAAGTAGGTCAGACTAGCCCCTACCTCCCAGAGTTCTTGTGAGAAACAAGTGACACCCTCTGTGAAGCAGTTACACCCATGCCTGGCACATAGTGAGCCATGCTTGGTGACTGACTGACTGAAGACAGCCTACTGTGTGCCAGGGGCACAGCTCATGCAATAACACCATTAGTGTAAAGACAAACAGCTCTGAGAGCCTTTAGAACTCTGGTCAGTGCAATAACCAAGCAGGAACGCAGAGGCCTCGGGATGAAATGTGCTCCTCCCTCCTTCCACCAAGGTCATGGGCTGAGTGTGACCCCTGAGGAGTCCCTTTCTGGACATGGCTGTGGACACAAAGTCAGGGGAGGAGGAAGGCAGAGATGGAGAGACAGTGCCCGGGCAGGACAGGCGCCAGGTAACAATAACAATGTGGACAGCGATGATGAGGACATCCACGTGGCACCTGAAGGTTCACAAAGCACCAGACACCTTTCATGTGAGCCTCACAACACCCCTGGAAGGATGCTGCTATTCTTCTCCCCAGGAGACAGATGAGGAGCCCAAGGCCCAGAGAGGTGGAGGGAGTGAGACAGCAGAACTGAACCCATGGGAGCCGATCCCAGAAGAGAAGCGGGCTGGGACAGAGCCCTGGCCACCACCCAGAGGGTGCCCTAGATCAAGATCGAGCCAAGAAACTAAGAGAAGTTGGGGAGAGCAGTGTCCCCAAAATCTAGAGCTAGTGTCAGAAGAGGGTGACTAGCTGGGGGGAGGAGGGTCAAAGAGGATGGGAAGAGGCCATGTCTAGGTCAGATGGGAAAGAAAAGAGAGAGAAGAAAGTAGGTGGTGGCACCAGTTACAAAGGGAAGAGGGGAAGAGACATAGGCAAGGACGTCTGGTGGGCACAGGCGCACAGGGGGTCAGGGGGAGCACTCTGATGCAGACCCTCCCCAAGGCTGCCCCCCAACACCAGCACCATCCCCCACCCCATTCGCCTCCCCACCCCTTCCCTGATGCCCAGACGCTCATCCCCCTGCGGAATGACGTCAGCTCTGTAACTCACACCTCCTCAGGTTCTACTCGCCCCTCCCCCCACTGGATTGTGGGCTCCTTGAGGGCAGCTCCTCTCTCGTATTCACACCACCTAGCACAGTGCCTGGCACACAGTAGGTGCTTTCACCTCCCACCCCGCCCTCAACTTGGGCTTCCTTCCAGCCTCTCAACAAAGCCCGCCCCTGCTGGGTACCCCCCCCAATCAGCCAGAGGTGGCGCATGCTCAGTCTCACCTCCATCCTAGGCGCCCCAAGAGACGCCCTCCAATGCCAGCTGGTCAGTCTCTGCGCATGCTCAGTCTCACCTGGAACCCCCCCTCCACTCCACCCTCCCTCACTGAAGCGTTCACAACTCAAACCCCAGCGCAGGCGCAGTCTCTCACATCATCCCCTCCCCCCCAGGTCTGTGCTGGGGGTCACAGTCGCGCGCTTCAGCTCCCGCGGGCTCGTGATTGTGTGTACACATGCACATCTAGACAAACACACGGAGATGCGCGTGTGGGAACGAGCTGGAGCACCGGCCCGGCCTGGGCCCCAAGACCCTCCCGCAAAGGCAGGCTTTTCCGCCTCCGCGCATGCGCCAACTCACCCCCACAAATGGCCGCCCGATGCCGGCGCTCAGGCCTCTCTCCGGGGCCCTCATCCCCTCCAACCGCAAGCGCGGGGGAGGCTCCTGAGCGCACAAGAGGCTGACAGTCACCACGACCAGATTTCTGAACCGGAGGAGGCGAACTCAGGAAAGGGGTGGGGCGTGATCGCTCGGCCAATCAGAGTCATCAATGGCGTTCCTCAACACTGCCCAATCACATTCTAGCCGCCCCTCCGGCCAAAGCAACCAATCACAGGCTCAGCCACCTTCTCTACCCCGCTTCAACCTTCCAAATGACAGCCCCACCTACCCTAATCCCCCAATCACCTGTCAGGCTCTCCTCCTTCCTCCACCCTAATTCTCCAATTACAGGTCGAGCCCGGCCCAGGCCCCCCCATACTCCCCATGCCTCCTTCTAATCTCCCAATCACAGGCCCTCCTCCTTCCCAATCCCCCAGTCACAGACCTAGAGCCCTAATCCTCCAATCACAGGTTGAGCCCTACCCCCTTCTCCTCACCCCGCCCCCCCGGTCACCTATCCTACACTACCCTACTCTAATCCCCCAATCACAGGCCACCCCATCCCTAATCCCCCAGTCACAGGCCCAGCTCTGTAATCCCCCAATCACAAACCATCCCATCACTAATCTCCCAATCACAGGCCCAGTTTCCCAATCCCCCAATCACAGGCCCAGTTTCCTAATCCCCCAGTCACAGGCCTAGCTTCACTGGCTTTCCTGCCCGCTTCTGCAGCCTGGGTCCTGGCTGGAAGAGGCTTTTGTACCGAGCTGGTGCACTTCTCCGTTTCCCATTCTTTCCTCACCCCCAGATGTCCACCGTAGCATGCTGGTTGACATGCCTGCCCCCAGTCTCCCTGTTTGTTCCAGTCCCTGCACCCCTCAGCTGCCAAAGAGATCATTTAAAAGCACCATGTCACCCCCCCCCCACACACACACACACTCAATAAACCTCGATGGCTCCCTATTACCTACAGGATAGAAAATAAAACGCCTGTGTTTGGCATTCCAAGCTAAGGGGCAGCTAGATAGATGGAGCTCTAGGCCTGGAGTCAAATCCAGACCTGAGTTCAAATCCAGCCTCAGTCACTCACCAGATGTGTGACCCTGGGCAAGTCACTCAATCCCTATTTTGCCTCAGTTTTCTCATCTGTAAAATAATAACAGCTCCTGCCTCCCAGGGTTGTTAAGAGGATCAAATGAGATAATAATCATAGTGTGCTTAGGACAGCAGCTGGCACATGTAGGTGCTCTATAAATGACAGCTATTGCTTCTCTTAGTATTAAAAAACCTCACTCCCTCCTCCCTTCCCAACCTCCCCACCATGCAGGGCAAGATCAAGCCATCCCGGCCTAGTTGCTGTTCCTTGAACATGACACTCCATTTCCATCCTCCACGTCTTTGCGCTACCCGTGCTCCATACCTGGGATCTTCTAAGGCCTCACAGCCAGGTTCTAGTTTCCCTGACCTGTTTCAAAGCTGCAGGGGGTCTTGAATTTCCCCCATCCCTACAGATTACATTTCATTTACCTATATGCATGTGTGTGCATGGACACATAGGTACACACATGTGAGGGTATTTTTATTGTGTTCATATATGTATGTGTATACGTATGTGTATTATATACCAAATTCTTTATGTGTTGTCTACTCAGATTGTGAGCTCCTTGAAGGCAGGAATTTTTATCATGGTTTTTTTTTTTTTTGGTCAGGCAATTGGGGTTAAGTGACTTGCCCAGAGTCACAGAGCTAGTGAGTATTATGTGTCTGAGGCTGGACTTGAACTTGGGTCCTCCTGACTCCAGGGCCGGTGCACACCTAGCTGCCCCCTCTCATCTTCTTTTGAAGGGTCTGGCCCAGGGGTGGGGAACCTGCAGCCCTCTAGTTCCTCAAGTGCGTCCCTTTGACTGAACCCAAACTTCACAGAACAAATCCCCTTCATAAAAGAATGTGTTCTGTAAAACTTGGACTCCGTCCAAAGGCCGCACTCGAGGACTTAGAAGGCCACATGTGGCCTCGAGGCCGCAGGCTCCCCACCCCTGGTCTGGCCACCCATAGTCCAATCTAATTGCATCTGGTCTCAGTGGGAAAGCTGGGGGCGCCCTGGCTCTGCTCACCTTTTCCGCCTCGGAGCCAGATAACTTTACCCCGCCTGCTCCCCTGCCGCTCAATCAAGCCACCTACCAGGAGCACATGGAATCTAGCCTGCTACAGCTGGCTCACAGGGGGTAGATGGTCCCTACGTCTCATGACCGGGTGTGCTTGCTCCCGGTGTGCCCGGCTACTGGCCTACCTGGAGCGACTGCAGAGGGTGTGCAGTGCTCCACCTCCCGTTCAGCTGCAGATGCAGCCTCCCACTCCTCGTCTGAATCCACTCCCTCTGGGGCGCACATCCCTGCGCCCCAAACCTTTCACATTACAAGCTCTGGTCTTAACTCTGGGCGTTTGACTCCCTTTGGTTCCGGCGAAATGACAAGCTGAGGCAAAGAGGTGTTACTCTCCTCCGTGAACTGGGAGCCTGGTGGTGCGGCGGACAGGGCGTGGTGCCCGGCGTGCTGGCGACTTCATCTCTCTGCGGGGCACTCAATCCCCGCGCGGTCTGCACCGCGTCCCACGACTCTTGTCAGTGGCCCACACCAATCCGTCATGCGTGCCGAACACATTCCCTTGGAATCATCCTGCATCGAGGGTCTTCGTGCACATCTCCTCCCCAACCCACTTCCTGGGAATCCTGCCAACCACCCCAAGTGCTGTGAACCCAGACACCAAAGCACCCAGTGGTATTCCCTTGTGACGCAGGCATTCCGATGAAAGACGCTCACACAGCCGGGGCAGCTTTCTTTAGGGATTTCCTCGCTGCGGCAGATTTGTCGGTAGAGGCTTGGTCCTCCTGACGCTGCTTAGGGGCAAGGTGTGTGAACGCCCCACCAAGACGGAGCCGGCTGCCAGCTTGCCTCACCACGGTCTTGACCCAGCAAGAATACGCAGGAGATCTTGGCCCAAGTACAGCCTGAATCCATTTACTCATAATGTCCTAACTGCAACCATGACCAGCTTAGCACACAATAACGCAAGGCTCTGTTGGGATTTTAAACCCATTGCCTCTGGGGCTGGACTTAGGTCACAGGATTTATTTCCAGCCCTCTGGGCTCATGCTTTATCAGCACATTAACCACGGATCTAAAGTCCTTTGAGATTCTTCTTCTATGACATTGTCCTTGTGTAAATTGTTCTGTTCTGTTCACTTGGTTCCGAATCAGTTCGTAGAGGTCTTCTGAAAATGTCCATGTTGTCCTTTCTTGTGGCATAATAAATCATATTCCATTTCATTCCTATACCACCATTCATTTAGCCATTCCCTATTAGGTGGGCACTGCCCTCGTTTCCAGCTTCTGGCTACTATGAAAAGAGCAGCTTTATTTTTGCCCACCCCGGGTGCTTTTCCTGTTTCTTTGACCCCTTTGGGTGGGTGTGTACACAGGTGAGCGGTGGAGTTGGGCTGAAGGGCAGACACAGTTTAATGATGTTGGGGATGTAGCTCCACATTGCTCTCCAGAAAGCCAGGACCATGGCGCAGCCCCACTGACAGTGCACAAGGGTGCTCCTTGTCCTCTGTCTCCTCCAGGTGTAGGTTGGAACCTCAGAGTTACTTTAATGTGGATTGCTTTATTGTACCCCAAGAAAGTTTTTTAAAAAACAAGGAAAAGGACTTATATAGACAATGCTATTTATAGCAGCTCTTTTTGGTGGTGGCAAAGAATTGGAAATTGAGGGCATGCTCATCAGTTAGGGAATGGCTGAATGAAGTGCAGTATATGACGGTGACAGAATACTACTGTTCCATAAGAAATGATGAGGGATATAGTTTCAGGAAAACCTGGAGAAACTTACGTGAACTGATGCAAAGTGAAGTCAGCAGAACCAGGAGAACATTGTACACAGTAGCAGCAATATTGAAGGATGCTCAATTGTGAACGACTTAGCTCTTCTCAGCAACACAAGGATCCAAAACAAAGGACTTCTGATGAAAAATGCTATCCACATCCAGAGAAAGAACTGATAAGAGTCTGAAAGCAGATCAAAATAGGCTTTTTTTAAACTTTATTTTTCTTGGAGATTTTTTTGGGTCTGTTTTCTTTCCCAACATGGAAATATGTTTTGCATGACTGCATAGTATAATCTATATCAAATAACTTGCCTTCTCAAGAGGGGGACAGGGAGGGAGGGAGAGAATTTGGAACTCAAAAATTTAAAAAACAAATGTTAAAAATTGTTTTTTACAGGGGGCAGAGCCAAGATGGTGGAGCAAAAGCAGTGATTTGCTTGAGCTCTCCCCTAAACCCCTCCAAATACCTGTAAAAAAATGGCTCTAAACAAATTCTAGAGCAGCACAACCCAAAAAAGACAGAATGAAACAAATTTGCAGCCCAAGACAACCTGGATGGTTGATGGGAAAGGTCTGTTGCACTGGGCTGGGAGAGGAGCACAGTTCAGTGTGGGTTGGGCAGGCAAAGACAGGGCCTCAGTGAACCTGGAGCAGGCTTCAGGAGACTGAATCATGGGGCAGCTATGGTGGTTTCCAGACTTCTCAACCCACAAACACCAAAGACAACTTAAAAGGTCAGTAGGAAAGGCCTGTTGGACCTGGGTGAGAAAAGAGAGTGCCCTGGCACAGCCCTAGGGCAGCAGAGGCAGAAGCTGCTTCCAGAGCGCTTGGCCCACAGATGGAGGGGGAATCAGGTGGCTGATCAGAGGGGGATTACAGGGATCTCTTTGCTGGTGATGAGGCAGGATTGTCTTGCTTTACCCGTGCTTGGATCTAGGTCATAGTCCTGGGTGGTGGTCCTGGGGTGAAGAGGAGCACTGACATGGGCACAGCTTGTGGCCAGTGGAGCAGGAATCCTCCTCACAGCTCAAAGGGAGGAAAGAGTGCTTGTGGTCCCTCACAGACCAGAGCACAGGCCAGGAGAGGAATAAACACCTCTTCTTTGATCATACCACCTTGGAAGAACCGAAAATTTACAGGTCCCTACAAGTATCTCTGAAAACAGCTGCACAAAACCGTCGAAGCTTGGGACAGTACACACTCCACACTGGAAGCAGACCCCCACCTTAACAAAGAGTTTAAAAGTCAAGTAATTGGCTGG